CTCTCTCTCTCTCTCTCTCTCTCTCTCTCTCTCTCTCTCTCTCTCGGAAGTGTGGTTTTTGCCCCTTTGCCATCATCATGCTGCTCGCGGCGACCAATGCGTGGTACACCCAAAGGTGTTATTGGTGCTAAGCGGCGGCATTCTCCGTACACCTCGCCCCCGCGTGACCCATGGCGAAATAGGAAATCATCGAGCCAGCCGCCACTCGAAGAAACAGCGTGTCGCTGAGAGGGTGGGCGATGTGCGCTGCTCTTCTCGAGCGGGCCATCCTTCAAGTACAGATGGTGGGTGATCCCGTGGGTGCGGCGCGCATGCGGGCACCAGTCGACGCTCATTTGCTTTTTGCCAGGTGTTTTTGGATGGGTTTGTTGCACGCCGTTCCGCCTACGAAGCGGGTTGAATCGGTTCGGGATAACAGAAAAAGAAGATAAGTTTAGTCTTTGCACAACAATTTTTCCATTTACGCTTTGTGCAACAACTTGTGTTAATTAAAACGTGAAAACAGCGATATTCGTGCGCCTCGTCGTGCTACGTCGATGGGTGCAGATTTTGTTCCAATTTGTTTTGAAAAATGGCGACATTTGGCCAAGAATAACCCACGGAAATCACCGCGGTACGCACCTTTATCGTAACACACACACACACAAATACGTCTGATTATCCCGCCTCTGAATTATCCCGCATCCGCTCCACTTCTATCTGATTGTATGGTCCTTGCACAACAAGACATGTCCAAGAATTGCATGGCACTAAGGTTCCGCGCTCTTCTTGGGGTAGGGGTGGTTGTTCCGAGACATTTTCAAAACTTACCGTAAACCGAAAAGTAATAATGCCTTTGAACGCCCTGCCTCCAGGCCCATCTTCCTTCTGAGTTTTTTTCTTTCTTTTTCTGGGCTGTTGATCTGGAAAAATTCCGGACGATGACGTGATGTTTTCGCGGTCGATGGTTACATCAGTCGAAATACAAACGGGGAGCTACGATGTACAGGACTAGGCTACAATTCGTCGCTAGGACGCTGAGGATCGGTCAAGAAAGGTGCTCCCGTAAACTAACGTCACACCCCGCGTTCGGCGGCGAAACAATAGGTGGGTTTCTCGCGAAACACCTTTTTCTCGAAACAACTTAATATGCACGCCTGGGGGTTTGCTAAAGGAATCGTCTACCACATATTCTTTCAAATATTCGTTTACTATTTGTACATGTTCTTTGAAAAAATATCGAAGCTGCCTACTTACTACAGTAGGTGTCCCGATATAGTGCCGGTTGAATTGTGCCAAAGTCCGGTATAGTGCCTGTAAATATGCTTGACAGGCCTCTATAGTGCCAAACCCTCACTATTGAGGGCTGCCCGCTATAGTGCCGGTTCAGGCACTATCGAACCCCTCAATAGTGCCGATTCACACCCCACACACAGCCTTTTTTTGCCTCAAGCCTTCTACGCCATCAGGATTCGGAGACGGTTTCCGTTTGAGCTACAAGTATACCTCGGTTCTCTCGGTACGCGTGACGTCTTCAAATGTCACGGTTTACCGATCGACTAGGCCAATAGACTGGGATTTCAGTAGGGAGGCGAGCGAAAAGGAAGATGGGGGTAGTGACGAAGGATGGATATGGGAACTATAGCCAAGGATAGCAGTGATGATGCAGGAGAGAAATATAGCGTTGAGGGGAACAACAAGAGTTTTNCTCGGTACGCGTGACGTCTTCAAATGTCACGGTTTACCGATCGACTAGGCCAATAGACTGGGATTTCAGTAGGGAGGCGAGCGAAAAGGAAGATGGGGGTAGTGACGAAGGATGGATATGGGAACTATAGCCAAGGATAGCAGTGATGATGCAGGAGAGAAATATAGCGTTGAGGGGAACAACAAGAGTTTTGAGCGAGATGACCTTCCTCACAACAAACGCCGCAGGGGCGCAGCAGAATCATCTAGAGATGAAAGCCCGAAAAATAGTGGGAAATATTATTATATATAGTGAAGAGTGTAGTAGTGGTGGTAAATGAAATACTTCTAAGGAAGGATGAAAGCACTCCGAACAAACACATGTTCAATAGTAGAAAACCTTGGCAGTCACGTAGTTGCTTCTCTCGGTTGCTACCATTTCTATTTTTCATCCAGAGAATAGCTCAGCCTCCTCCATGACACCCTCTCACTTCCTTGAGAAACAAATTTCTGTATTTGACTGCACTGAGACTGACGACGTCCTTTGGTTGGCCAGTCGTTTTTCTTGCTTCTGAAGGCTTGGTCTTCTCCCTAGCTTTTTATCGAAGGAACAGGGGAGTTAGTTTCTTCTTCACCCCTTTTTTAGGTTTCATCTGCTTTTTTTGTGTGCTCATGTAAGGAGCACCACACCCATCCATGTCCTCCAAATGTACATCGGGTGCATGCATTAGCGTCTTTCTTTCGCTATCCGGGGTGCCGTTGAGGTTGCCTGAAAGATATTAGTGCTACGGCCTTCTTGCAATATAACACACAATAATTTGATAGCGAGGTGAACTTTTATCGGGCAGCACAGTCTACGGTTGAAAGGCAGCGGGAAAGTTTCACTAGCGAGTGCTTGCGCTGAGGTGGGAAAAGAACAACTGCTGTGCAACAAATCTATCTGGTCAATCAAGTTAATTGTAATGTGACCAATGCCGTGTTTTCGACAATCCAAGAGCTCCACAAAACTTAATGAAGCCCGCCCACGTCGCCCACCTCACGATTGATCCAAACACCGCTCGTTTGGTACTCTGTCAGCCCCGCAAAGCGCAAGCGCTGCACTCTGAAGTCGAACAGTCCTGAACAGTGCCAAGCCGGCACTGTAGAGGGATTTTCGGGCCCTGAATAGTGCCATTTGGCACTAATATAGTTATTCAGCGCCAATTCTGAATAGTGCCGGTGCCCGGTATAGTGCCGGTCAAATCGCCTGGACACATACCGGCATTATATCGGGACACCTACTGTACAAGTATTTACTCCGAAATATTTCATATTTCGGAACANTCAGCCCCGCAAAGCGCAAGCGCTGCACTCTGAAGTCGAACAGTCCTGAACAGTGCCAAGCCGGCACTGTAGAGGGATTTTCGGGCCCTGAATAGTGCCATTTGGCACTAATATAGTTATTCAGCGCCAATTCTGAATAGTGCCGGTGCCCGGTATAGTGCCGGTCAAATCGCCTGGACACATACCGGCATTATATCGGGACACCTACTGTACAAGTATTTACTCCGAAATATTTCATATTTCGGAACAACCGACCGGTCGCCCCGGTGGTCTAGTGGTATCCTCGTAATCCGCTAGTCGCAGAGGTCGTGGGTTCGAATCCCCATGGATGAAAAAATTGCGAAATGTGCGGGTGAAAGCGAAATACAGCTGACAAGCTCTCGTGAGTACCAAACTTCGACGTTAGCACCGTTGACGAGGGAAAGGGACGACTGGACCCTTCTCGCGATAAGAATAAAGTTCAGCACGCACCGCAGGAGGAAGGTGGGACATGAAAAGAAATAGAAAGAAGAAAAAAGTTATGGTGTTTTACCCCCTCCTGTGTGACCCTGGATGGTTGTAGTTGTAAGAAAAAATACACTGAAAAGTGTATTACTCTACAAACGCTGAAAAGTGTAGTAAACGTCTCACCACGAAAAATGGGTGGACTGTCGCCACAATAAAAAAGGACGAAAAACATACACACACACACACCCCTACCCCGAGAAAGGCGTGGTACCTTGTTGCTGGTGGAATGTATGGAATATTCGTTGCGCATAGACCACATGCAGCAGGAAGTGTGCATCAGGAAGGCCTTGAGCCTCTCAGAACCCCTCGCCTTCCCTCCTCGACCCCCCACTGATCATTTGTCCTGCCCACGTAAAGAAAATGAGGCGTGTTCGGGCAGTCGTTTGTTTTGCCTCGCAGGCACGCTTAATAGTCACCTCAGGGAGCAGAGAGATCCGTGAGCAACCACGACATTGCGGTGCGCAACAATCGCGCCACCCCCCTCCGTGCCCTCCTTTGTATCCCAATGCTCGCCACGAAACATACAGTCGGCCGATCCCGACCGTCCCCTGACCCCGGCGGAGTGGGGACGCCTTGAGGACGAAAAACCTCCAACTCCGCCGGTCGAGGTGGACGAAAAAGACCTGATCGGACGCCGCGCGAGAGATAACGTGCGCGCCTTCCTGCGGGAGGACGCCGACCGGGAGCCACGCAGGGAGGCGTACAGCTACGAGGCTGCGCTGAAGGAAGAGGAGGATGAGGAGGCGAGGGAAAGAATGCGGCGAGAGCGGCAGGGGGGGGCGGAGGAGGGGATGCGTTGGGCGGGAGAGGACACGAGGAAGGATTTGTCCCTCCAGGATGACGACGACGACGATTCCCCGATGTGGAGTGGGCGACTCAACCCGAAGGCCAACCCAGAGGAGCGGCTCGAAGAGGAAGGCGGCAGGGAGGCGGAGGAGGAGAGGGGCGACCTCGGTGACGACGGCCCGCTGGCGAAAACAGGCTCGGATCTCGGTTCTCAGGCGACAGGAGGAAAGCTTGAGGGTAAAGGTCGGCGGGACTCCGAGCATGGCACTAGGAAAGGAGCGATAGCAGCAGCAGCAGCAGCAAACGACGAGGGCAACATTGGCGGCAGCGGTGAAGTCGGTGCCGCCTCCGTCGATGCGAACGGCGAGGCCAAGGTCACTCAAGGGCTGCAGCAGCAGCAGCAGCAGCAGCAGCAGCAGCAGCAGCAGCAGCAGCAGCAGCAAGAAGTAGCAGCCGACTCGGGGGATGATGTCGGTTCGGCGAAACCGCCGCCACGGCGACCACCATCACGACGACGACGGGGCAAGGTGTCGCCGCCGCCACCGCTGTTGGGAGAGGAAACGCTGCAGCAGCCGGAGGCTGCAAGAAAAGGCACAAGCTTACCGCCGGGGCGATCGAGCTCGGAGGACGATGCCCCGAAGGCGAGCGTGCCTGCAGGAGCTAAGCGCGAAGCCGGCAAGCGCGGCGGAGGTGGCCGCGTCGCGGCGAATGGCGGCAAGGCGCGGGTCGCAAGGGTCGAAGCGAAAACAAAGGAGACGACGAAAGAAGCACTAACATCATCATCAGTCCCAGGCTCACTACCGCCGGCGGGGGTTGCGGCGGCGCCAACGCCGCCGAAGCGAAGGCGGGGACGCCCAAGGAAAACGACCGTTGTTCCGACGCAGACGGAATGAAAAACCACGGGCGGGGTGCTGCTGCTACAGCCAACACCGCTGTTATGTTTCTGCCTACGATACGATACACAGCCGTCAAGGTTCTTTCTTAGGAGTTGGTTGTTGACGATTGGTTGGTGTGAACGTGCAGGGTGTAATTGTAGTCCAAGAGGGTGGGAAGAAGCGCTTACTACAGTATCATGTAAGCAAACGGCGCCGCCATTATAAGCAAACGACGCCATTTTCTGAAATGCCGGTGTTGAGCTTGTTGGCGCCCATCAGGACATACTTCCGCACGAGTGGTGTCAAGTTTTCCCGAGAGTTTGAGCGCTTTTTTCGTGTTGTCTGCACAGCTAGCTGTAGGAACCCCGTGGCCTGTTTCCTTCAGATACTGCCGCCGTGTTAGTGACACAGAGAAGGGGGGGGTGTACTCATAGTCGTGCATGCCGTAGTCGTTTGACCATTGACCTCGCATTAATCAAGCGCCTTGTGTCGGACAGGAAGAGGGAATAACAGCCGATGGAGTGTGTGGACGTTACCTTTACGAAGGGTCAAAACCACCCCGATGTCTGTCGCCGGCCGTTCCTCGTTTCACAAGTGACTGCGTGAGAAAATGGATCGGGGGCGACGCTCACTGCTCTTTGTGTAGCAATTTTTTTAGGGAAAACGACACAACAGCAAGGTATACCCTGGTCGAAAAGGGACACACCTGGGTACACAGTCATTAACAGCAGTAAATGCACTCACATCATTGGTCAGCGCCCATTTTCACCCCGGTGCGTCCGAAAAGGCGCAGGTTATACCCTGCCGTGACTACTTTTCTCAACAACTGTACCCTGACCTGTCGGGAAAAGATACACTTTCATCTATCATTTCCTCCGCAGGAATCTTCCCAACTCCTTTTCCCCTCCAACCATGGGATACCAAACGGCGAATCTTCCCGCCCAATAAACACCACGGCAACGGGACAGGAATCAGTTTCCGCCCCTGCGAAACAACACCAACCATCAACTCTTCCGCTCTAAAAGTCAACAATGGCCGGCCAATACCCCAGCACAATTGTTCCGTTCGGAAACATGCACACGCGCGTACGATACCCCGTGGACGACTACGTGCTGCAGTCTATGCGAGACACACGGGTCACGCTGTGAAAGCGAGACCGATCCAGCATGGTTGACATGACTATTATGCATGTGTGCGTGCGTGTGTTGTCTGTTGTGTGTCTAAATGGCGATGTGCCGTGTGTGCGTGCGTGCGTTGTCTGTTGTGTCTCAATCGCGATGTTTTTCTAGCTTGAGCTACTACTACTATAGCAGCAGCGGTAACGCTTACCAGCCGACCAAGCCGATCAATCAATTCATGATGTAGTAAGAAGACGTCAGGCTTCAGCGGGATGAGCCGATGAAATACAACGCGAGCACTCCTTCTTCTCTCTACCGATAGGGAAGGTGACTGAATTGGACGACACAGCAGTGTCCTGCTGCTTGAGTAAGGATGAGACTTGTGTGTGCGTGATTGATGTCAAGGGCGCGTCTGTGTGTGCTGGTCCTGCCTCTCCCCGCCATCCTCTGTGGGAGCGCGAGCTCGCCGCCAGCACAGCGCCACACATTGGCACACGCTATGCATGTCAACCATGCTGGATCGGTCTCGCTTTCACAGCGTGACCCGTGCATCTCGCAGATAGACTACAACAAGCAGTCGTCCACGGGGTATCGTACGCGTGTGTGCATGTTTCCAAACGGAACAATTGTGCTGGGGTTGTTGTTGTTGTTGTTTCTCACATTAGCTCTATAGTCCACAAAAATGGGGAGCCCGTGGTCTCAAAACCCGAAAACCCGGCACATACGACGCCGCGAGAAAACAAAAAAAACAAAACAGGGTACAAACCACTCGGAAAAAGAAAACAAAATGATAGAAAGAAAAGAACAGGTATCGCACCGACCGTTCGAGAAAAGAGCCCTCGGACACCGATCAAAATAAAACAAAACAAAAATAACAGAAAAAAAAAGGAGGACGCTTCCCACACCCGCCGAAAAAACAAATCGAAGGGTAACGTACCAGCACCAGGCACTGCGCACCAGGGCATGGGAGTAACGGAGCAAACAGGGCAAAGAGGCGGCAGATGGGCAGACAGCCAGACGTACAAAAACAAAGGCAACAGCAAAGCGAGCTCAAGGTACCCAACACAGCAGAGTAGGCAGGGAGGTCATCATGAAAAAGGAAACACAGCACAGAGGCCGAAGGCAATAAAAAGGACATACATAAAGGCTGTCTCTTATACACATCTAGATGTGTATAAGAGACAGC